AGAGAGAGAGAGAGAGAGAGAGAGACTGAGAGAGAGAGAGAGAGAGAGAGACTGAGAGAGAGAGAGAGACTGAGAGAGAGAGAGAGACTGAGAGAGACTGAGACAGAGAGAGAGAAAGTTCACAGCATGAGCTGTACTTTTAAATGCTTGTATCAGAAAAAAAGAAAGGTCTGAAGTGCAGCACCCTAAGATTTCACCTTTAGCAAGTTGGAAAAACAAAAGAGCAAAGTAAAGCCAGAAGGAGGGAGCTAATAAAGCTCAGAACAGAAATAAATAAGAAAACAGATAGTAGTGAAAACAGTCAAGACCAGAAGTGCCCTAGCTAGACTGAGAAACACAGATATAGGACACAAACTGCCAATACCAACGAGAGATGATTATTACATAATCTGCAATGTTAGAAGAATAATAAAAGTGTGTTACAGATCATTTTATGCCAACAGATTCAGCACCTTAGATGAAATGGACAAATTCCTTGGAAAACGAAAAATGACTACAGTTGAAGCCAGAAGAACTAGAAAATCTGAATAGCCTGTATCTAGTGAGGAAATCAGGAGCTCTGGTAGCATAGTGGTTCTGAACCAGGCTGCGAACCTCAAGGTCAGCAGTTCAAAACTACCAGCTGTTTCATGGGAGAAAGATGAGGCTTTTGCTCCCATAAAGATTTACAGCCTTGGAACACCTGTACAGGGTCACTATGAGTCGGAACCAACGCCACGGCCCATAACCACCAACTACCAGTGAGGAAATGGAATTCAATATCAAGAAATGGCTAACAAAGAAAATGTCAGGCCCAGACAGTGCAGTGGTTGTATGCCTTGGAGTCTGGTCCGACTCATTTTGACCCTGTATAGGGTTTCCATAATCTTTACAGGAGCAGGAAGTTGTATCTTTTCTCCCATGCTGCAGCTGGTAGATTTGAACAGCCGACCTTGCAGTTAGCAGTCCTGCTTGTAACCCACTATGCTAACAGAGCTTCTTCCAGACAGTCAGTTCTATCCCCAGTTAAGGAAGCAATTGCACCAGTCTTACACAAACTCTTTCAGAAAATAGACAATGTGCTAACTCATCTTATGAGGTCAGCATAATCTCAGGACCAAAACCTAACAGACATTCAAAAGAAACAGGAAATTGCCTGACAATATTCCTCATGAACACAGAAAACTCTAATATTATGTTAGCAAACCCAATCTAGGAACTTTATAAACAGGAGAATGCATCACAACTGAGTAAGATTCATCCCCAAAATACAAGGTTAGTTTGTCCTTCAAGAAAATCAGTCAATATTGTTCAACGTCATAAACAAAACCGGGAGGAAACCTTGTGATCCTGAAATAGATGCAGGAAAAGCACTTGGTAAAGCTCAGTGTAGATCTATCCTAACATCTCAGCATACTAGGAGGGGCAGGGAACATCCTCACGCTATTACAAAGCAGCTCGGAGAAACCCAAGGTTCTGGGGCCAAGCCAGCTGTACTCGCTGCTGACCGTTTGAACTACTCAGCGGTACCTTGGAAGAAAGTTCTGGAATCTGCTTCTGTTAAGATGACAGCCTAGAAGACCCTACGGAGCAATTCTACTCTGACATGTGGGGTCACAAAGCGTCAGCATTAGCTACAGGACAAGTAAGAATGAGAAACCCACTGCTAATGTCATGCTTCCTGTTGAGCCTGGATGTGCACAAGGCAAGGATGTCGCTCTACCAATTCTATTAAACATGGTCCTCAAGACCTTCACTATTGTAGAGAGGCAAGCAAAAGGTATAAAGGGGCTCTCATAGGGTGGGCTTTCTAGAGAAGCAAAAGCAGTGAAACATACATGTATGTATATATAAAGAGAAGTTTATTGCAAATAAATGGCTTACAATTAGAGCCCCAGGTCCCCAGCAGAAGCAAGTCCATTCATTATATTGGGAGCAGGCCACACCCCCAAGGAAGCATTCTTTTAATTGCCAGACTGTTCACCACAGAGCTAACTACGCCTGTATCTGGGTTCATCACCATGGGGACAAGCACATCTCAGCTGCCACACCACTGGGAATCCTGACTTAGTCAAGGTGACACAGAACCTATTACAGGCATCATATCAATAAAGGCAAAAATAAAAATGTCTCATTTCAGTTAAGTGCCTTCAAGCTGAGTCCAACTCATAGGGTTTCCGAGGCGTTAAATCTTTGTGGGAGCAGGAAACTTCATCTTTCCTCAAGGAGTATCTGAAGAGCTTGAACCTCGGACCTTGTGGTTCACAGTCGAGTGTTTATGATTGTGTGGAAAATTCTGCATAATCTACAAAACAATTACACCAGAACCCGTGGTAGCTACAGTTCCAAGAGGCAGCCTTGTTTTTCTAGGTCTCACAAGTTTCCTGCTTTTGACAAGGTGCAGTCTTACCATGCTGTTCTGTACTCTGAGAGACAGGTATGTGGGTTTTCCTTTTCTGAAAGGTTTCTACCTTATACAGGTCCTGGCTTCCACAGGTTTTGCTGTACTAAAACTAATCAGTAGACTGAGGAAGGTTGCAAGCTTTACCATACAAATATCTACTATGTCTGTATAGATTAACAGGAAACCGTTAGAAAATGAAATCAAAATGGTATTCAGTGACATAAAAACACAATCCTTATATCATTCCAGAAGATTCTGTTTTTGACAAACAAATTTGACCCAGAACACCAAAGTCAATTTGCAAAAGAGAAATCAAGTTGAGGATTCACCAGCTATTACTTTAAGACTTACAATAAAGTTTTCATGGGGGAATCTTTGGGTGGCACAAATGGGTAAATGTGTGGTTACTGAATAGAACCCTGTGGAGCTCAGTTCTCCTCTGACACAATCATGGAGGCACCAAGAGTGGGATCTACTTATGAAAACTGTCCACTGAGAACCCTGTGGGCATAGTTCTACTCTGACACACATGGGGCACCACGAGTGGAATCTACTTATGAAAAATCATCCACTGAGAACCCTGTGGAGCACAGTTCTACTCTGACACACATGGGGCACCACGAGTGGAATCTACTTATGAAAAATCATCCACTGAGAACCCTGTGGGCACAGTTCTGCTCTGACACACATGGGACACCAGGAGTCAGAGTTCACTGGATGACAACTGAGTTTTGTTTTTTGGGTAAAGCTTCCATGATCACTATGATGTCGTGTTGGAGAAAGGATGAACTGATAACGGGACCAGGCCAGAGTCCAGAAATAGAGCCCCAGTTATTCAGCCTTTGACTCTCCACAAAGGCACCGCACACTGCAGGGGGAGGGCATTCTTTTCCACAGCATGCAGCACCGCCTCCTCTC